ACAACGGGCAGTTCCAATAAAACTGATGGGATTGAAGTTTCACATGGGATTCACTGCAACTTGCCTAAGACACTACAGAATACGTAACAGCTGAGTAGATTCAACTAGTATGGCTCACTTTATTTTTTCTCTCTGTTTACAGAGTAAATAGAGCACAGGCTCTTGCTTACAAGATCCGGATCAGTTATGCTTTTTTTAATAATAGTTGCCATATTTCACAACTGTGAGAGCAAGGTAAACAGTCCTGGCTGAATCTCATTTACTTAAGGTACAGCTCACCTTAAACTTGCCAGCCAAATACATCTCACGTATGTGGGCTGGAGACTGAAGCCTCAAGCTGTTTTCATCAGTCACTCACAAATACAGGAGCCACATAAATCTGTGCTAGAAGTGCAATGCATTTCCTTACATCTGCACTCTGTCTCTAGCACAGCATGATCTGTGAAGTTAGTCAGAGCCACTTGAGATCTGCATCTGTTCCTTTTTCTACCTCATTAAAATATCTAATGCTTACAAAAAGGAAGCTGAATCCTCTCCCTGGAGAGGGATAATGTTCTTGAATGAGAATAAGAGACCACTTCCTATGTCTGAGGCTGTTAGAAATTCACTGGTACTAAAAGCGTTTTGAGTGCCCCAGAAGAAAAAAAACGCTCTAGATAGATACACAAGCCATTATCTTTGCCTTTATGCCAGTGGGGTTAAATGCAACATTTCCATTTGCTCTGAAAGCTTTTATTTCAGTTGGTTGTATGGCCTGTGTTATTTTATTTGATAAAATGTATGTATAGGGTTTCCTTTGGCACATTCTGCTCTTGTCCTGTCACACGGCTTCATACAATCCCCAAAAGCACTGAACAAATTTCAACAGTGAGTTAAATGAGAAGCTTTGTATAAGAGTCAGGTGAAGATCTGTGTAATGCAGCTTATCTTGTTAGGGCTACGATTAGAAGGCAGGCAACCTGTACAGCAACACACTGAAATTCAAGATGCCCATTCTGTGAAAGGTCTTGATGGTGCCTCTAATCATTAGAGTCCAGCAATTTAAGAGTCACTGTGGCCGAAGCTCAGCCACTCATTATAAAGTGGCTGCTGCAAGATAAGTATCACTGTAGGATAAACTTTTTCATAATGTTAAAGAAGGTGGGTTTTATTTGTTTGTTTGATAATAAATGAAGATCTATATATTTTCCTTCCTCATATTAGACACCCTGAATTTGAGTAAGGATTTCATTGAGCACTGATATTTGCAAAGAGGACTTCGAGGAAAACCAGTAGTCAAACAGAAAAGATACTGCTCAACCACAGTGTTTTACCCTCATTTTATGCTAGCTTGTCCATCTTCCCACATACTATATTTGTTTCAGAATTAAATTATAAACTTGCTGAGACACAAGCCACATCTTATCATAACTTACATTTAGCCCAGAGCAAACTATAAGATCTCAACAAATAATTCTTGGCATATGATTATAACCATTGACAGTAGCTGCAGAAGCAGCCATCACTGGGTGCTATTCCTGTAAGACTCATTTCTTTTCCTCCAAGAACAGATTCTTCTCAGTAAGCAATAGCTACAGCACAGCATGGTGAGCTCTGCTCAATTTCACCTCCCTTACGTGCTGTATCAGCTTAGGTCTTTTGAAACAATTTAGCAGAGATTTCCATCCAATGCACATCTGTCTAGACTGACAGGAAGGCCCCATCAAAGCACAGATATTGCAGAGAAGACAGTTTTTTAATGAAGATCACCGTGCTGCATTGAGCTGTATTCCTTCTGCCTATACACAAAGCATTTTGTTACCTCAGAATCAATTCAAATATCAGTGACTGTTAAGATTATGCCTAATAAACAGAATTCTTACAGAATTATTTCCTATAATATTAGGCATAAAATTAAAAAAAAAAAAAACAAAAAAAAACAAAAAAAACTGTGGGTATGTCTTTACTGGTACCTGTGAACGCCAGTTGAAACAGTGGCCTGATCTGCCTTCTTTGTCCTAAACTCTCTCTATTCAGCAGCACTATAAAACATGGAGAAAAGCGGTGGCTCAGGAGGGCAGTGCCCTTTTCCAGCCTGCAGAGGTACAGAAAACAAGCTGTCATCGTTCACTATTCAATTAGTTTGCTGATAACAGCCTGTAATAAGAATGTGCTCATTTAAGACCCTGCTCCACCTTTCAGTACAGAACACCTACACGTCGTCGTCCTTTCATTCAGCCTACATCAGTGTTTCCCCAGAATTAAGGATTGTGGATTAAGCTTTATGTCAGTTTATTCCATGTATACGAAAAGTTTGCTGTTGTAGATTAATTTGTATTCTAGTTGTTTTTTACACCTGATTGTTCAGAAAGAACAATGTGGTAATTTCAGAAAGAGTCCAGGGGGTACAGTGAGAAATAGTTTTCAAAAGAATCACTTTCTTATCCCAACAGAACGTAAAACTTCTCTTTTCCCCATAACTCCACTTCTGCTGCTCCTGCCCTGTGGCTAGGTGCATCCTTGTACATGTTTACACATTCCAGTCCAGAAGAATGAAAGTAAAAATGGTAATTTCCATAAAGTTTGAAAAATGGTAGACCACTGATACCTTGTAGTACTGCTCACTGCTTTCTGCTAGTATCTTCTGAAGTCCCTATGGTGTCACCTCTCGGTATGGTGTACTAAATCCTATTAACTGCTACATTTTGACATTTCTAATCTTTAATAACTTTTGCTTTTTCTTGGCAGATTTGCAGCTTGATGCGAGGTGGAATAGCTGAGAGGGGAGGGGTTAGAGTGGGTCATCGTATTATTGAGATCAATGGACAGAGTGTTGTTGCAACTGCTCATGAGAAGATAGTACAGGCACTGTCAAACTCAGTGGGAGAGGTAAGAAAAGTATTAATTAAATAATCTTCAATTTTTACCAAAGACTTAAAACCGTCAAAAAAATCAGTTGAAAAATGTCTTAACATAGTATTAAAACCATCAACTCAGTAGATTGGAGTTGAGCACTGATAACAATTAACAAAACATCTTTGAACACTTATATGTACGTTCAGTTTTTACACTCATTTCAAGAGTGCGTGGCATGATTCTGAACCTCAGCCTGCTGTTCAAATTAAACCAGTCAGTTAAAGGAAGGAATCAATTAAGCATGTTAGCTATGTCTCTTAACTTCTGACTACAGCACCTGCTGTAAAAATAAATCAGTGTTCAAAGAGCTGAGATTAAAATTCATATGTATTTTAATTCACTCTGATGGAACATTTCCAACTTACCTTGGGAATAAGACATCTCTCTGCAGTACTTTTAGAGAAATCATCAAAGGATGAACAAGATCCTCTAGTTTACCAAAATCTACTCAATTTAGAATAGGATCATACACAACCCTGGCCAGATCTTCCACTACTTCCTCTGCAAAAAAATCAGAGGTAACTTTTTTCCTGTGGAAAATGGTACTTGAAAAGAATTCAGAGTACATGCGGTCCATGCATGCTGGCAGAAACAAAGCCATGTAGATTTCAAGAGAACTTCCATGTCTTTGTGGTACCTCTGCTGCACAAAAGCTCTTTAAACACGAGAGCATTATGAAAGTTTTTTTTTCTTTTTTCAGCATGAAGAGACCAAGAGAACGAACAGTTAGTAAAGCACACAGTTCTTAGCCTCATACAGTCTGATAGCTGCTTTACTGGTGCTAGCAAGTTTCTGTACAACTGATTACCTGACACCCTCTGATGCTTACCACAGTTCTCTTTGTAAAAACAAATATGCTAGCTATGCAAGAACCTGGTTCCCTAATCCCTGGATTGGCATTTAAGTATCAGGTGATAAAGATCAAATTTTGTGTTCAAACATTCATTGATCAGGAGCAAATATAAATAAAATGACCCTCAAATTTGGGAGCAAAGTTGAAGAAAATGCAAGTTCAGTTAACATTAGAGCAGCAGATTCAATTTTCAGAAAAGTTTGTGCTGCCTTTTTTCTTTAATGTCTGTAATTGGAGTAGAGTATAACAACAAAAAGTATTTAAACACCTTCTTAGCTATATGAGGGCACTTCCTGTCAGCTGTCATCGAAAAACTAAAATGCAGCAAAACAGCTTCTCACATCCCGAGAATGGATGAAATTTTGGTAACATTCACATCCGTAGGAACAAATGGGAGAGACAAACTGGGCCTTATGAATTACTTAAAACTAGTAGAAAGCAATTCTGTTAATTTTTGTGTAAATCAACCAACAGATTCATATGAAGACTATGCCAGCTGCCATGTTCAGGCTTCTAACTGGGCAAGAAACACCCCTATACATCTAGCATGCGACTCTTGCAGGAAAATGATTAAATGGTTCCATCAAAGCCGAATGAATTAACGATTCCACCAAAGCCCTCATAGCTGAAGAGAATTTTGTATTTTGTACAAATGAAAGGCTTTGAAGCTGCCATGAGGACTCCGAAACAAGGAACAGACAGGTGTCTGTTTTTCCTCTCCTTTTTATTTCTTTGCCAAAAAGTGATGAGAAGGATGGTCAAGGACAATAATCACTGACACAAAATCTTTGTAAAGCATTGAAGTATTTTGCAACATCTTCTAAACTCTTTTCTCATATTTATTTGTAACCTTTATGTGGAGTGATGTATGTATGTCTGTCCTGTTTGATAACACGATGAATGTGAAAACCTGATGACTGAGACTACAACAAATGGCAAAGATAAGCAATTGAGAAAACTATGGCTAGGAAGCTGTAAAAAAGAATCCCAGTCCATAAAGTGGTCCAAGAGCATTGTGTAATTTTAAAACTGGTGCTGAATAGATGGTATTTCAGTGGAAAGGAATGTGTGCAGTTAAACCTCTTAGATTCTAATGTAAAGAAAACCACTGTAGTACTTGGTATTGTTATGACAAGTGTAACCTGTTTGGCAAGGTGTGAACATAAACATGTAACAAGTGTTTCATATGCTAAATAAAGAATAATTGCCACAAGATAAAAATCAAAATATTTATTTAGATACATATTTATTTTTAATGCTTGTGATTTTTATGATTTAACTGAGTGATTTCATGGATGACTTATTGCACAGTTTGTGTAATGTATGTGTTGGGCTGTTTTTTTCTTCTAATTTTTGCATATTCTTTGTTAATACGAGCTCAAAATGGGAAAGCCATGCTTACCTGTTTTCTGTTGGTTTTTTTATAAAGCATTCTTATTTCTGGGGGCAATGTGTTCTGAATGTAAATTGTTTCAACAAATAACCTAGCACCATCAGCAGTACTGGAATGTGTGTAGATTTAAAAAAAATAGTAGTAAAGTTGTATTCTTTATGCGATAAATGTTAATTGGTGTAACTTTTTGTCTAGGTTTTTTTTTTTGGAGGGGAAGGGGGTTGAGGGTGCAGAGGGGGCAAAACCTTGAGGAAAATACACTGTGACTTAATAAGCCTTATCATGCAGTAACTAAAGATCCTTAGATGACTGTACTTCAAGGAGTAGTGTGTTGCATGCAACTGACCTTAGGAAAGAATTAACCTATTATCACTAATAAATCTGAAGTAACAAAGAAAGCACGCTTATTTTGTTTGTTCCACAACTTTACATTGTAAAGAATTCAACTACCATTTAATTCTTCAACTAAGTGCAGTTGCAAAGGTCACAGATTGTTTTTTGAAGAGAATTTGTCTCTCTAATTAGTAATTAATGTATCATCCTTAGAGCTGCTGCTTTCCGATAGCATACCTTGTTGCCACTGGATGTCACTGTAAGTTCACATCAATATGGAAGCATGGTATACTTTCAAATGGATTATTCCATAAAAATTAAACTATTCATCTGCAGCTACATTCCTTTGTGACCTTTTCAAAGGACGTCAGCCCAGCTCAGAATGACACAAATGAAAGCAGTATATGACTAAACCTCAAACGGAAACTGTAATGCTACTGACAAGCACTGCTGCAAAAAAATTAAAACCCTGAAACATCAAAACTTGTGGTAGGTTCTTTATGAGAATCTTGTTGTTTGAGGCCTTTCCATTTTCCTCTGAGAGAGCCAGGATTAATCTTGCACCGGAAGAGCTGGTAGAGCTCTGTTTATGCTGGTAATCAAATTAGCGTCAACAATACTTACCTTTTTTTTCTTTTCCCTAAGATAATTCTAATAAAAATGCAGCAGAGCCACAAGGAAATGTTTTAGTAATACAAACGTTCAAACTACTAATTGGCATAACAGTTCTTTTTGCAATTGTTCATGGCTCTGCTAGATAAAAATTCATCTTGTTTCTGATCACCTGATGTTTACAAGCTTAGAAAACCTTATTGGAAATGCAGAATTTCAGCAATTTCATTCTTCCCTAATGCACCTGTTGGCCACAATTCACAGAGTACTTAAAATGTCAGCTTTCAGTAGCATGTGCTACTCCACTAACAACCTCATGACCATTGAGAACAAAGTAAAAATAAACCACACCACAGCCTTCTGTGTTATTTAAAGGGGCAACACATTGCAGAAGTTAAGAGGGAAAGAATAATACAGCAGATCAGTTAGCCTGGCATGAAAGACACAGGAAAAATGAATTAGAAGCAGCACTCTGTGCATATCAATCACCTTTACAGTTCTATCCAAATCAGTTGTTGAAAAAGCAAAGTCCAGAAATACTTTTTATTAAAACACTGATAGTAGTTAAAACACCTTGAGGTACATTAAATAAATACAACTTCTAAGTTGTACAGCCAGTCTGTGGTGGTTTTGCAATGGTTTTGAAGAAATGCTAGACAGCATCAGCAGCATTTCTATAAGTACAGTGAAATATATGCATTTCTGGTCGGGAAAACATTTGTTATGAGTTTACTAATAAATCAGTTATTTTTTTTTTTTTTTTTCAAAATTCAAGGCTGAAATTTACATTCAGAAAAACAGGTGTTCTCTTCCTGCTGTTGGAAAAAAAGTAGAATTCCAAAGGAAGACACTTCTTCCTTTTTAAGCCATCCACTACTCGCATTTCTCCCAGTCCTGGTTTCTTCCTTAATTCTCTCTGCTGGAATCACATACCTGTCAGTATTTTCACAGGCTGGTCTCCTGGCAAACTCCAATTAAACTGCGAGGCCTGTCCCGCTCTAAACTGCGAGTGATACGGGACCTGCGTAAGAAGGCCACTGGAGAGCTCAGAGCACCACAACTCTGAAGATGAAGGTCTTCCTGAAGTCGCTTTCTAGAGGTATTCACACCCAGCTGGGAACTTGTAATTACCTGTTCAAAAGGGCAGGAATGGAGAGGGAAAAAGTGGAGACAACAGGGTAAACATTTTTTTCCATTTAAAAGGTCTGGCCTCTGAACATAACATAAGTTACCGAGTGCTGGAGCTCCACCAAAGGAGATGCATGTTATGCACCCACCCAGAGTCTATCCCACCTCTGTTTTTACACCTGGTCATAGCTGGCTATTGGAAAGCAAAGTCAGACTTTAAAGGTATCAGGTGTTGCGCCTGTACCACAGCATTAAATCAACAAAGGAGCAAACAAATACTTGTTGCTCTGTATAGGAGTGGAAAGGAAACTGGTGGAAAAGAAGACAGTTCTGCTTTATAAGAAAAAAAAATGCAAGTCTGGAGTAAATTAAACTCATCTGTTTGTCTTAGGAGAAAGAGATGCTTTGGTGAAGGTGGGAGAGAACTAAAACCTTGCAAGCCTGATAAACATTTTGGAGTTAAAGAATGATCAGCCTGCTTCACAAATCTGAATTATACAGCCATTTCACCAAAATCCTGTCACTTATGTAGACTGCTGGGATGGCCTGGACTTTATTATTAAAGAATGCTGTTTTCTGGCTGAAAAAATACCTTTCCTGAAATGATTTCTTTACTGTGAAAAAACCCCCACACATGTGACCCCTTGGAGCAAAGAGATGTGCACAGGGTAAAAACTGTGCTATGAGTTTCTAGTTTTATGAGGTACATAAACACTCGTGTTCCTTCACACTCTCCAGTTTTGTGAGAAATTATGTTTGTTTTTTTTTTAAATATATTGTTTTTGTTTTCAGCTTTCTAACCCTGAGGATTTAATGGCCTGCAAGTATTGTGAAGAATAAAAATGTTAAAAGTTGATTCCATACTGTCACTCTAAGTATGTCATGGTAGTACTGCTTTTCTGCTAATGTGACTTGAGTTAAATGATACAATGCTCCATCTTTGTTCTACTTCATAGTTAGCAAAAGGCAATCTTGCAGCAAGACTGCAAATGGTGCGTGCTTCCTGCTAAACTTCAAGCTACTTCACATGCAGTTTAATTGTTATTATATCCTGTTTAAATACTTAGCAAATTTACCCCATTTAGGGATCAGCAAACTAATGCCACACATATTAAGTATCTCAGAAGGTAAAACCAGCAGACCCAGGTGTCCACCCTTAATCATCAATTCACATCTGTGGAAAGTCTTCTGTCAACCTGAACACAGTCAGTCAGTGTCAGGAACAGTTTGCTTTTCAAACCTGGCCATATAAAAGGAACTTCATTTCTATATCTAACAGTACTATCAAGAGGTGATTTATCACCTTCCTTCCCCAAAAATGACTTATTATTAAACATGTATTAGATTACAAAAGTTGCTGCCTCTACTAATTCCTTTGTTTCATAATTCCTTCCAAGCCCTGCATCTGCTTTGCTCTATCTTGTGGTAAGAAGATGTACTATTCTTTCATTTGGAAAAGCCCAAAATTATCAATTATTTTTCTTATAAATAGCAAGGATCATTGTCATTCTTCTAGCCAGGTTTAAGGATAACTGCAGTGTTCTGCTTCGATAGATTGTGGTTCTACTTGTTTATCCACTCTTTCTTTTCAGCTAGTAGCTTATGCTGTACAGACACAGCTGCCTGAAAAAAACAGACCCAAGTCAGTTGTTAGTTCTGGAATCCGTACCTCTGTATATGAACACAAATGCATGCATGGAATAGTATGTCCCAGGTGTAAAAAGCCTTTGGCGATAGCAAGTTATGATTACCAACGTGTAAAATCGCCCTGGAGATGGCGAGGGTATTACCAGCACTGGGTCTGGATGAGGAATTTTCAATACATTTATGAATTCCTCAGCGTGTAACACATTACCCCTTGATAAACGTTAGTTATTTCTTACTGAAGCCATGTTATTATAAAAGAACTTCTGTAATAATTCTTTGAAATATTTAGAAGTGTAAAAACATTTCCATACAATATGTGTCTATCAGAGTCGAACAAATCTTTAGAACATTTGTGGCCTACCTGGTCTATAATATTGGCACTGAAGATGGCTTCTTCCATGTGTCTCTCATCAGATTTTATTACTGATCGTATACTGTTCACTACATGACGTACTTCTGGAGGGAGATTACAGTTTGAATGTTCCAAAAATTTTGCCACTAAAATTTTTGTATCTTTATAGGCCTTAAGGTCCACTAAAGAGTGTGGTCGTCCTTTTGAGACTGTTTGCAAAGCCTTTGGCTTTAAGTGTAGATCAATGTTCCTTGTATCCCTCTGTTTTCCAGTTGGTAGGAAACTGCTCAAAGAATGCTGACAAGCAGAGGCAGCCATATGAGAACCAGAAACAGGAACTAAAAAAGGGGGGGAAGAATATCTTTAAAGTAATAGTTTGATGATTTTTTAAAGAAGAAGAAAAAAAAGCAAGTCAAGAATTGCTACAAAAGGTTTTACTTTGTTTTTTTGGTGCGTTTTTTTTCCTGGAGATAACAACACGTAATCAAGAAAACACTCCAAAAATGGGTAATTTTAACCAGAAGTTGGGTTACAATTTACTCTCATGAGCAAGAAAGACTGCATTTAGGTGAGTGAGGGTGTAATTAAAGTACATCATAGATTTCCAACATTTTTGTTACGTCTACTTTCATGGATTTCAGTTGAGATTAATGGTAAGGGGAAGCACCAACTAAGCAGTGTTATACATGTAATTTGCAGTGTTTTAGCTTGCCTGACTTTAAGAACCTAGTTCCCCTTCTAGTTAGACCTCACAAATAAGAATAGTGAACATGAGAGATCAGCAAGAAATAGAGATAGCAAAAACACTAAGCTAAAATGCTTCAGTCACAGCACTCGTGATTTGTGATCAAAGTCTGCTTCCAAAAAACTGCAACTAACTCTGTAACAGAATGAGAAAATTTTGCATGCACACCTCATGCTTGGGTGTGGGAACAATCAATTTTCCCTTTTCACAGTCTGCTGTGACACAAACCCAATCACTACATTCAGTACAAAAACAGCACTCTGTCAGTAGGTGGGCTCTATGAACGCGTGTAAATACGATTCCATCGGAGCTGTACATTGTGCATGTACTGAGCAGTTGTTAAAGTGACTTTTACCTCACATTTCCTTGATCTTATTGTCTATATCACAAGCTTATCTAATTACTTTTTTAAAAAGAAATCCACCTGCTTTAGAAAACTGATCTCACCTGTTTCTAATGTGGCTGAAGATCCTGCATCTTGATGCTGTCTACATATAGGACTCCAGGCACAACGATCACCTGTAAACAAAGAGCCAAAAAGAGCACAATCAAGCCCTGTTATCTGTTGAAAGCAAGGAAAAAATACATTTGGATCTTTCCTCGTTACCTTTCCTGAATGAATCTACTCAGATGAAATACTACTTGCAAACAGTCCGTTCATGAAGAGAAGCTACTATGTACTGAAATGTCCTTTCAGTTATTAAACACAGACAGAAAAATACAGTTCCACGCTTGATGGTTTTCTCTCTTATGCAGCTCACATCCAACGTATTTCGGGCCTAGGTACTGAAGTTACAGAAGGCTCAGTGATTTCTAGGGGCAGAATTCAGACCACACTGTATTTTCTTGGTGAACATAGTTTATCTTTAAAATAAAATAAACAAATAATGGAGAAACAGGAAAGATGAACCTTTTTTTTTCCCTATAAAAATAGTCTTTTGTTCAGATTTTTTTTTTAAATGAATATATTTTCATTCTTTGAAGAACAACAAATGCTATCCACCACAGATTAAACTGATGGGTAGGCTGACCACTATGGTTACTGCTGATCCAATTAATAACAAATGGTTACAGAGCATCTGAACACAGCTCTAAACACAGTTGCCCTCTAATGAGAGTGTTTCTCTGTTGCTAGCACAGATCAATGACCACAGGATCACAATACACATCAGCACAGTCTTTGCGATCTCAAGCTTGTGACAATCAAGATGAAGTAAACTCTCCCATTTACATCTGTTTTCAGAACTGAGAACTATTTTAGACTTCTTAGCATAATAGAAGAGGTTTCCTTCCATTTCTTCTGGAAAAGCCTGTCATGAAAAGCTGGCATAATCCTCCCTGGCAGAGAGAGCAATTCAACAAAGGCAAACATGCTACGAACACAGAGAAGTGGTGAGCAATTAAGACACTATTACATCTTTCGTTTTCCTTCCCACTGCACTGGAGTCATACAGATGGTTGTGAAACAGAGCACCAACTCAGCATGCACAGTAGGTGTACGCTTTCTTTTAGCCTCTCCTGACTCATACCATCACACATCTAAGCCTGCAAACTACCTTAAGTGTGCTCCAAATCTTCCATGTCTGTCAGTGTTACTGGTGCCATACATTCACTGCTGCACAGGCTTTATCTTGCCAAAACTGCAATATTACATAATGTATGGCCCACAGAATTATAAGCATTTATTATACGTATCTACGTATTTAAAATCAAGCACAGAAGTATCAGAAGTATTACTAAGCATTTCAAAATTTTGAAATTAGAATCCATAGAGCAGCAGTCAGTCGTGAAAAATCTGGAAGCTGCCACAAGCAGCTGGTATGTGGTAAATTGTGCCTCTTCTATCTGAGTGATTTCCAAATGATGGACAACAAAAGGTAAAGTGAGGAAGGTGAGCAAAGTAGTGAAAAGTTTCAGACAAAAATTTTGGTAAATCCTACTATGCCAAAAATATTAATGAAATAAAGATGCAAATCAAATCTAAACTCAAATGCCTCTCAAACATTTCATATTAAGGCATCTTCCACACACAGAGCAGCAACTAGGCCAACACAGACATGCAAGTTACTCCCATAATCCCCCTTTGCCACATGCGTATCAATATTTCTAGAATCATCTCTGCATTGTTATTAAAATCTTTGCTAAACCCAGTTAAATCTCTGTAATGTTAAACTCTTATTCTCAGCTCATACAGGACTAGAAACTTGGAATCAAAGTAATTCCCATAAGGGTTAATTAAATAATGCCACTCCTCCAGAAGAGATGATGGATGTATTTAGGACATGTAAAAATAAAGGCAGAGCATCTGTTATGGCAGGTGTCCCAGAAGTCAGCTAGAGCACATAGATATGGCTGCCTACATTAATGTCTCTGTCAAACACTGCTCAAAGAGCATATGGAGCACAATATGGAAAACTTGCAGAGTGTAATCTAGAAGAGAAAGAGCTGTTCTTCTTGCGTTTGGCCCAGCAGAAAGGATTCTGAAATTCCTACTTGCTGTCTGCACAACAGCTTCATAGAACCTATATATCCTAGCAGATTAAGTTTCATAAAATAAGCACTGACTTCTAGATTAAAGATTTACATTTCCTTGACAGCATGCTGAGGCCAGATTTCTAAAGGTAGTTCAGTCAATTACTGAACTAGGTATGAGGTCTCTGAAGTTCATAGGAAAAGAATAATGATGCAGAAAAAACCATAACAGAATCAACACTTCTACATAAAACCAGCTATATCAGCATTTTGTGTACTTTTTTTTTTGAGGTAGTCAGTCCTTCCCTTAGATGCCTTAGAAAACCCAGTGAATGCTTCTGTATCAGCACAACCTGCCTAACAGCTTACAAAGCCTTCATCTTTGCTTTCAAATCACTTCTCCATGTTAACCTCTCCAAACAGCTTATATCCCTTCATAAAACCTGTACTTCTCAAATGCCACTTCCACATTCCTGTTATTGTTTGATCAAACCACTCCCCACTAAATCAAACACATATTTTCCATTAACAAGCAGATTTTTATGAAGATACAGTGTTCAGCCAATAATTCCTCTCTTCTCCCTTACTTGTCTAAAAGGAGACTCTTAACAGATGCTTATTTTCAACAGTCACAAGCTCTTCTTCTCTTTCATCACCTTGCTGTATGCCTCATTTCTCCTTTCCTACTCTAAAACCTTTCACAATACAGTCCAATATAGTCACATTGTGACTGCATCTGCAATGCAACCATCCATGTCAGTGTCACCTTCAGGAAACACAGCCTGCTGCATTAAGAGCACGACAGCTCAATTAATCATTTCCCAAATAGACCACAGCAACTGTTCAACCACTTGGTTTAGTTTCTCAGTATAGCAGAAACAGAGCGGTGGAAGAATCTACTCAGGAGATGGCTTTCTGACAAGTGCAGAAAGGCTAGGACCTTTTTTCACAAGTCAGAAAATCCAAAATTAACGTCACTGTCGCTTTTTACCACTTCCGTTCTTAAAAAACTTCAAATCTAGAAGCTGTGCACGGAGTTAAATTCCCCACAGGTAAGTCAACACAGGAAATTGTTTCCAATAACTTCCAGCAGCACCAATTGCATAAATCCAACACCCCTCACTTGTTGCACACTCCATGGCCTCGTTGTACCACACGTACCTTCTAGATAAGACGAACATGATACAGGATCACTGGTTGATCGGACAATATTTGAAATGCGGTGTTCTGTAACATGATGCTGCTGGACAGTACTCTCAGAACTGCGTGCATATGATGAAGTATTTGCAGGCCCAAAACAGGGAGCGGTGTGGGAAGGGACAGAAGGCTGGCTAAAGACCCCACAGCAGATTTTCATTTGTTTCAAATGTGACGAGACACTGCCTTCTTGAGCAGTACTCTGCAGTTCTCTTTCTGAGGGGTTGAAATTCTCTGAGGAACAGTCTGAGGATCTGCCGTGGGCAGAGTTTTCATTTTCCTGTCCTTGAGACTTGTCCATAGAGATTCTGCTGTGCAAACTGACATCCTCATCAGGAAAACCTTCTGAGCGAGTTCTATGGAACCTGCAGCGGGTGCTGCAGTCCAGACTGTTGCAGCTCTGGCCTGTAGCCCCTTTGCAGTTTGTACAGGAGGGAGAAAAATCTGAAGAACGGAGAGATCCTTGAACTTCCAGCGAACAAAGATCGTCAGAGGAGCAGCTGTGGTCTGGGATTTCAGCAGTTTCAGAGGTTATCAATGAGGTGCTCTCAACAGAAACTGCAAAAGAGGAGAGTCAGAAAAAAATAAAGGCTTCAAACGCCATCCTCCCCCCAATTTCATCATACAGATGTTACAGATGAAAAGGTCCTCTTGTCCAAGTACGTATTTGGCTCTGCATTATTCCCAAATTTGTGACATCTACATTATAATTTTAATGTTATATTAAAAACGTGTCATGTGCACTACTCAAGCTACAGTAGTTGACTGGATCACTTCTATTTGTGATTGGTCCCCCAATTTTTTTTTTTTTTTTTAACATAACGACATTATTCTTTTTCAACATATTCTATTTAGCTGAGACAGAGTTTGAAATGCCCTCCACATCAACCAACACATTAAGGAGACCTCTTTTAGAAACTCTTAAACCTGCTCTGTGCCGCTACTCATCTACGTCATTCACACCTATTCGTCAGGCAGTTTCTTGTCCTGGCCTCTAGAAGCCATGCAGGAGGAAGCTACGTGGACAATCCGATTGGCAGCCCTTGCTGCTGACAACGAGAAGCAAACTGCTGGTTATGTGCATGATTCTTCAAAAAGAAATGACAGTTGTTGCATCTGCTTCAGAGGCTTTAATCAAAGTGAGTACATTTCCAGGGTAGCTATAAAGCACACTTTGTTAAAAATGACTCCTCTTTGATTTCCTCTGTGTTTCCACCCGTATCTGTTTATGGCCAGGAAAAGGTTCTTCCATGAATAAGCTGGAAGCAAACCCTTCTTTCTCCACTGGGAATGGCAGAAGAGAAGGAAAAGTCCACTCAGAAATTCAGTGCTCTCTCTCTTTCAATAATGCTATGATTACCTTGTGTGCTGAAGCCCAGGGTCGCATTCCTCTCACCCAAGCTTGATTCAGATACTTGCTGATCAGTACCAGTGACCTAAATGAAAGTTGTTTAATGAAACAGCACATCAATCTGCAGCTTATCAAAATGAAGTACAGTGCTAATAATCTGAACAATACATCTGGCAGCATGAAATAACTACCTGTTGCTATTCAGATTGATATATTTTACGATGTCTTTGTGTCAGGAACCAACCCAGTGCAAAAGAACACACATGAAGCAATTTTTCACTCTTCTGGAGTCTACAGCTAAATTCATCTCGAATACAAACACAGCTGCGGTTGCAGGCCCACATTACCAAACAAGTGTTTGTACTGCTAAAAACTAATGCTGCTATTAGGAACAAACTGAATACTGTGCATTTTTCCATATTATGTTTTTTTTCCCCACACATCACACAGCATTGTATCACTCTAAAACAGGACGGCGAATAACAATCAATGATAAAAACGAACATAGGAGATTTATTTTTCTCTAATTATTTTACAAGATGTTAACATCCAACGTATTTCTAAGCGCTCTAACAACACAACCAAATTTGGCAAGGTAGGCTGCTCTCCAGCCTATCAGAGATTGCTTTTAGAGTCATCTTTTTCCTAAAGAACAGATCTAAGTGGGTAACTTCCCTTCACTTACGAGAGTTATGAGAAGAAAACCCAGAACTGGCCCTGCTGATCCATAAACTCGATCCACAGACAACTAAAATTTAGAAAATTTTCTTTCTACTGATTTTAACAGAACCTTGCTGCCAACCTCTTTAGATTTTCAGCAGTTCTTTGTGATCATGATTGGTATTCGGAAAAGAAAAAAGGTTCCAATAAACAGCTCGTAACTACATATGAAAAATACCCAAAGACAAAGAAAATGTGACTGAGACATTGATAATCATCTTCAGTAGAAAGCATCTAATCTACTTCTGTAAGGCCATAATTAACTAGTAAAAGCTCATTACTGATGATTACAGACTTAAGAAATAACCATCAATCGCTTCTTTGAAAACCTTTTAGTCAAGAGCTTCATTTGTATCTAGCCTTCTCAAAAATTGAATGTGACACTATCACTGAACCTATTAAGAAAAGAGCTTCCAAGGCACACGTCAGTGTAGATCAATGCATATACACACCTAAATTACTGTGCCCACTCTTTTTATGTATGTATCCATACCTTACTATGATCAAGTGGTCAAAAAAAATACTTTCCAAATACAATTTAAAAAACAGCTTCTAAGAGTTTGCAAATATAATTTTTTTAGAAAGTACCAGAAACTTTTTACCTCACCACTACATGGACAGGGGACTTGGAAACAAAGAACACCAACATTAGTCATGTTTTTAAAAATATGCTTGCAGATTTTTTTTTTATTTCTTTATGGAAGCAAATTTTTACATGGTAAAAAAAAAATCTGTGGTGTCATTTTAAGTTGCAGACCACTTCTGGGAACTCACAGCAGAAGTGTTCTCCCCACTGCCTCAATCCAGCACAACAGTTTCATGTACGCAGAGTCTATTATTTTTTCACTGTAGTGGCATTTTTTTAGAAACGTTCTGCTGCTTGTGCTGAAGTAACAGCCTTTCATCAACTAGGAGATTTGCAATAATTTCTATCCCCCCTCTACTCAGTTCAGGTGAGGCTGCACCTCAAGTATTGTGTTCAGTTTTGGGCCCCTCACTTCAAGAAAGAGGCCTTGGAGCGTGTCCAGGGAAGGGAAACAAAGTGGTGAGAGGTCTGGAGCACAAATCCTATGAGGAGCGGCTGAGGGAGCTGGGATCGTTCAGTCTGGAGAACAGGAGGCTCAGAGGAGACCTCATGGCGTTCTGCAACTTCCTGAAGGAAGGCTGTGATGAGGAGGGGTTTGGCCTTTTCTCCCAGGCAACAAACAGGATCTGAGGAAATGGCCGCAAGTTGTACCAGAGGAGGTTTAGGTTGGACGTAAGGAAGAATAAGGACATAAGGTTTAGGTTGGACATAAGGAACAACTTTTTCTCTCAGCGAATGGTCAGGCACTGGAATGGCTGCCCAGGGAGGTGATGGAGTTGCCGTCCCTGGCAGTGTTCAAGAGGCATCTGGATGAGGAGCTATGAGATATGGGTTAGTTTGTGGTAGCAGTGGTGATGAGAAGACGGTTGGATTGGATGATCTTACAGGTCGTTTCCAACCTTGTGATTCTGTGATTCTAAGTTTACTGTCAAAAAATGGAAATTGTAGCTTTATTTTCAGATCACAAAATGCAAGAGCAACTTTACAGAAGAAAATGCAAGCTTGTGAAAAGAATGTTAAGTTTGGGAAATGTTTTGTCTAAAGCAAGAAATGCTCTTTGGTGCTGGACAAAATTTGATCAGAATATAAATATATTTAATTTCTCTAACTAGATTTCTGATGAAATAATTTTTGTTTGCTAGGTTGTGTCATAAATTCTTAATCACTGAACAAATAATATTGCACACAAGAATTTAATGAGGTTTAACAAAGCTAAGTGTGACGGGTTGCATGTGTGGGATGAGGCAATCTCAAGTACAAGGACAGGCTGGGAAAAGAATTCATTGAGAGCAGTTCAGCAGAGAAGGACTTGGGGGTCCTGACTTGACGACAAGCTGAACACAAGCCAGCAGTGTGCTTCTATAGCCCAGAAGGCCAATGATATCCTGGGCTGCATCAAAAGAGAAGTGATAGCAGGGAGAGAAAGGGGACTGTCTTTAGTGATGATGATTTTTAAGACTCCCTCCAACTAAGACATTCTATGAGTCTATGCTAATACCTGCTGAGTAGCTGTGCTGAAATGTTTACTGATCTTCTACACTGTCAGTCACATAGCAGATGCAGTGACATTGTCTAGCACCTTCAACCTATAAAATCAGTTGTGCAAGGTTGAGGTTTTGGCATATCTCTACTAGAGAAAAAGAACTATCTGTAGCTTTGATCTACTAAATCTAAAATAACTCCTATTTACACTTCATATGCATTCTGAATTGATTAATCTTCTTGCTTGAGCAAAGGAGAATCACGGTTTTAACTGTAGGAGGTAACAGTGGCTAATTTTAGTTAGGTCACAGTTGCATACAGATGGCAGGTGGGCTTACACAGTTTCCTGCACTGCCTAGAGTAACAAAGATCAACTTGCACATCCTCAGACATAATGGCTGGCAAATTGTCACTAAGTTAACAACAGAAAAAAAGTGAGAAAAAACATTCTCTAAACAAATCTGTACGGCCTATAATCTAGTAAAGCTTACAAAATAGTCACTGGTATAATTTGTCCAGGACCTTAATCTGTCTGTTCTTTACTACAGCCTCATCAATTCCTCCCATGGAAAATTGTTTGGAAAGCTTTTTTTTCATGGTCATAAAACCAGAATTCCTAATCAGTACAGATGACAACAGCAATTTTTGTTTAGATTCAACTGGTTAAATTAGCATTGACATTTATTGTGCATGAAATGCATGAGTACTGAATCTAATTTGATAGAATTTAATAAAACTCTAGGGAGTTCAATCCATCTAAAAACAAACAAAATCTATTGCTTGATGACCAGTGAGAGATTAATAATTATTGTCGCATAATGGCTCCCAGAAGCACTTCTGTAGCTAAAGCTCTGCTATGATTACCATTGCAAAGTCTGCCTAAGGGATTTACAAATCTAGTTATTTCAGTTCAGTTTGTCCTGTGGCTCGATGTATACTAGATGGGAACATTTGTACCACATAAGCACTTAGGACTACATTTGATTCGTCTTGAAGACCTAAACTGTCTTAGACTCTGGCTCTATTCCTTCATTTACAGATTGATTGGGACGCTGTCTGCAAAAAATGTCAGAACTTATGTCATCAAGAAAAGCATACAAATACAAAGTTGCTGCACAGGCTTTAGTTAGTAATGCCAATGTATTTCACTCTTATACTCAGCTCCTGTTCTTACTTTGCTCCTACAAGCCTTCCTAACCAGCCACGACCAGGCATGAGTACACTTACTGTGTATTTACCACCACTTAGAAATTTAAAATCACCAGACCTTACCATTGTGTGACAAACACTTCTGGAACTCAGGTAGCCTCAGATGAATAGGTGAGGTATTGACATGGACCCCAGACACCAAAAAATAGAAGTTCATACGCCTTCACATCAAATCTAGTGCTCTCCTATAGCAAGAGCATGACTTTGCTACTTCAAATTAGTTCATTCTACTTTTGTCACATGCTAAAGTTATTGTGCTATTGGATGTTGAAGCGCATGCAAAGTGGATCTCAATTACAAAAGTGCCCAAAGCAATTTCATGCTCAAGTACAGACCCTTCTTTAAACTTTAGTGAGCACCACATATGCTCACTAAGCATATTTTCACATATACAATTCTTCTCTTCCCCTCAATTCATCTGTAATCCATTACCATTTCTGTAAATTTTTAAAATTAATTTCTGAAAAACATCAGCTCCTCCAGGACTTGCAGGTTCCTCTGACTAACTCAAAGTCAAAACAATGGAATACTGGTAAAACACATTTTAGCCTTGGAAACTCCAATTTTGCTGTTCAGCAAAAATCTTGAAAGCAGCTTAAATAGGTTCATTTCATGTAAGCTTGTATATTTTAACAGACAGTGGAGGGCACGATAGAACGAAAGAAATGGAGAAGTTGTCAGAAACTGCTTTGTCAGTAAAAGCAGCAGCAAAATTAGGCGTATCTAGAGCTTTTAAAATTGTACTCTGGTCAGGGACTGTGCAAATAAACATTTTTTTCCTCAGACACTTTGTGAATAGTTCTACTAATATTTTGCATGTAACTGTGTTGGTTTTCTTTGCTGTTGTTTGTTTGTTTTTGTGCTTTTTATTGTGGTGGGTTTCCCCAGTGTGAAAAAATCACTAGCAACTTCTTCAATTACATACTTAGGGGAAACGCCACTGATGTCCAATAATCAACATCAAGATTGTTTGACTCCTCGAGTTTTTAGTGAATTCTGCCATAAATTAGAGTTTATAAAAGCAAATATAATTACACAGAAGGCCATTCTAGACTATTCAATTATGACAAGTCACTTGAAAGAAAATTTTGCTCAAATTAGCTTTGGTTGCATCTAAATATATTACGATTCTAGTTTCACTAGAGCTGACACTGTATAGCAAAACACAAGGCAAAACATATAATGCATTTGTCTGAAATCCAATAGATCCTTTCTCATAGTTCCAATAAAGCTGTTATATACTCTAAGGAGTATTTAGATCATTTTCACTGATATTTCACACCATGAAAATCTGGAGACTATGTAGTAAATTCCCTTCAGCTTGCCTTACCTGACTGGCAGGTGTTTCTCCAATCACTGCCTCATAAGGAGGTGGCAGCTCAGTTGGATACAGCATTCCTGGGCTGTTAATTGTGACTTCATATAAAGCACTGAATGGAGAATGAGGAAATTCCAAATGGAGACTTCTGCTTAAAAACACAAACAAGGAAACTTAACTATTAGGAAATTACATTAGATCTATTTGGCATACTAATATCTGTACCACAATGACGTAGAGCTTTCTCTGAGTTCAAAGCTAATACAGTACAAAGAATCAACTGAAGCAATTTATAAGACAGCCAAAACAAAACCTTCATTCACCTCCTAGCATTAAAAACTGTTTCATTTTGGATACCAGCCATCTGTCCTAGTCCATTTCTGTTACTAATGCCTTTCATTACTCCACAATAAAGCACATACAGAGCAATATTTCCTACGAAAATTAAATCTCACATTCAACCTCAAGTGTACAATGTTAACTGTAAAAGGATTACCTATAAGCTCATTTTCCTTTAAGTTATCCTTGACTGTTTATTGTTATCCTTGTCTTTGCTAAGTTCAATCACTTCCGTATCACAACAGTGCTTTAACAAAAATATTTCCACGTGTGTTCTAACAAGTTTGCAAAATATGTACATAATCTCTCAGGAAAAGCAGCAGCTAATGTAAGTGAAAGGCATTACATTCCTTCATATTTTTTTAAGAAGTTTCATAGTCTGTAGCTAAGAACTATGGAATAATTAACTACAGGAAAGAAGAATCACCTCTGTGCCTCTACCACAGGTGTGCAGGTATATTCTGGTGGGTAGTAGGGTGGAGGTGGTATTGGTGGGATGAACTCATCAAAATCCAAAGTCTGATGCAGAACTGTCCCATGTGGAGTCATGCAGTCTGCATTGGCAGAATGTGGCCGCTGCGGCAGAAACTGAAAATGAATAGGTAAAGTTCCTTCAGATGGTAGGAAAATAAAGCCATTTCCAATAGTAAGAACTGCAATGAAAGGTCAATTTTAGCACCAACCAATACCCTATTTCATGAATATCCATACACAAATGGTAGACACTTCTGGAAGCAAAAAAGTATATGTAAGATCTGCAAGGACTGAGAGTCAAATTACTAAAACATAAAGCAAGGTTATATCAAAGACAAAGATATATCTACCTCAAAGCCAATTATTCCTATGGTGGAAAGCACAGGTATTTCAATTTAAATAACATTTCAAGAACCAATCCTACCTTGTAGTACAATTTTATTGTTACACTACGCAGCCAGCTGTATTTTAATAATCAACAATAAATAGAACTAGTAAAATAACTATTTGCATAGTTTTGCTTCTAATCTGAAAAGCCTTGTTCTTAAGACAATACCAAACAAACCTTCAAATAAAACAAACTAGAAATTCATGGTTATATATTTATTTGATTTTGACTATGGCCACTCTGTTTTTCACTAAAAAAAGCAGCAGTTAGAACTGTTCTTTATTATACTTATAAAAGATTCTTAATAAACATTTATAGTTTGGTGATATAGACAGTGCACACATGCTAAATAAAGGTTCAAAATACTGGTATGAACATAAGCAAAACATTTATTCTACCTGAACATCTGAAAACTAGAAAAAGAACGACAACATAATGAATGATGAGAAGTGATAACACTGTGAAGTACTGTCAGTGTTTGTGATAAGAAACAAATCAGCTTCTAGCATGGCAGTGATATCAAGACCTTTCTGAGACTGACAGTAGGAAGTTTAAAAAAACCCTCTATCAAAGTCTTAAACTACTTCAAGATCAAATACAGACCATTCTGCAGATCACATGGAACCCAGAGGCCTTGGCCTGGCTTTATACGGTTGCCATGGAGAAAGGGGGATTTACAATAAAAATGATAGATTTCTTCCTTCTTCAGACAAGATGCTCTTTTTGCTGTCATGCCACTATTTTGTATCAGTAGGTAACCTGGTCTTCAACTCCTGCCTTTTAAAATCGGCGAGGTAAGAAAATTGGCTAGAGGCTCATTTCTCTTTTAACACTGAAATTTGTGAACTGCTGTCTCATTACATTATTACTATTTTTCAGATAAATGAAAAAGCACTTTTGTAAAAATGACAATACTAATGCTTCAGAGATCCCATAAAGAGTGATTTATTTCATTTTTAATGTCAGTTTCACATTTTTTGAACTTTTTCAGAACAATTCTCATTATCAGTTATTCTTAATACTACTGTACAAGTGATGTTGGTCCTTGGTATTTAGAAGGCTGGGCTACATCTTACTTCCATCAAACACGATCTCTGCATGTTGCTTCAAAGGTTGTATCTTTAATAATGCAACAAAACAGAGAGCTGGAAAGGACCTATTTCAATTGCTTGGGAAAATGAACTAGTAGCTGCTTAGTAATTCGACCTCTAGAGGCATTTTCACAATTAGTAAATCAAGAATTTCCTCTACAGAACACTTTATGTCCAATAACCAACGACTCAGACATCGTATTCTACTAATGTTACAGCAATAAGAGACATCTACTTCATTCACTCCTCCATTATTATAACATGTCTAATGCTTTTAAACCCATGAGATGTGACACTGTTGTTTTGAGTATCACCAGACACTTCTACAGGTTTCTCATACAGACTAAAGAAAAATTTTATAGTAATTCAGTTTAAATTCACCTGGTCTTTCTACGTCTATTTCCCAAACTCTGACATTCCATTAACTGATGAACACCAAACCTATGTGATGTGATCATCAGTTTGTTATCACATAAACACATAACACTGAAGAATCTGATAGGAAGAAAGGAAACAAAGATAAAGATGAAATACTGATCTACTGCCAGCAAAAAAAAACCAAAAGCAAAACAAAAACCCTTAAAAGTCTCTTCCAGAAAATAAAAAAAGACTACTTAATGACCTAAATCTTAGAAAAATTTATCACAATGAAGACATCTCTATATATTTAGGCTTGCATTTTGTACCTTATTTGGTCTCAACAAATTCAGGATGATAGTAATTTTCCTACAGGAGTTGATGATTTGGATAGTCTTTTATAGTCATGACACTAAGCAATTTTCTTTTATAACTGTTACTGTCTCCCACAGGCCATTTACATACACTGCCAGGAAAATAAAGGTTTGGCTTCCACTAGGAAAGAGGTAGCTCCATCTCTTCAGTTATCAAGTTCCCTGAAGCTCACTTAATTCAGGTATCTATAAGAGGCAATAGACTTAACGTTTCTCAGAATAAGGCAATTAACGCAGAGCACTTTCACAGTGAGTGAAGTATCAGCATCCATTCTGTGGGATTTCACTGATTCAAGAAGGAAAAGACCTCACTGTTAGATGCTGTTTAGTTTAACAGAATCAAGAAGCTTTACTGCAAATACAAATAATAGCAATGAACTGTTTGACCAGTGCTAAAAACGACTGGCAAAGTGGATATGAAAGAGGCACATATTTGGAGAGGAGTTTGTAAGTGACAGTTTACCTATATGATATCATCCTGCTGGAAGGCATAGAAATTAAACTGCAAGAAGCTGTAAGGGGGAGACTGGCAGGAAATGAAACAACAGCAAATACAAGGGATTATCAGAAAGAACAGACTTCCTTGAGAAAACAGTGGAAAAGGTATTAAACAAGAATTAATCATGTGCTATTCTATGCTACAGTATCTCCTATTCTCTGTTGGCCTGCAAAAATTTATTCTGCCTACAGTAAAACATATTTTAAAAATCCTGAAGAGTTAGTCTCAAATATTGAAGGCTAGCAGGAGTTCAAAGACAAAGCAAAGTGTCTAGGGGAGACAGCTAGAAGAGGAATGGTAAGAAAACACTGATAGCAGACAGAGCTGCACTAGGTGGAGGAATACTGACAAACGCTTGCAAGGAAATACGCTTTTTTTTGTATTAAAAAGTAGTTACTAAATAATCAATCTCAAAACGTTTGGTGGCAAAAAAAAATGGTACAGCCTGCATAGTCACAACTTCAAGCTGCATTCAGTGTAATTTCAAAACCAATAGCTCACACTATTAAACCAGTCAGCACACTTCCAGCTAGGCTTTTGGGATTAAACCAATGATAACTGCAGAAGCAACAGACACAACATCATTGCAGATGAGAACAAACAGTAAACAGCACCTGTGCTAACTACCGTAAGTAGTCAACACTTGAAAAAGCTTGGCATGACTTCATAGCTAGCAACAGCCACTTAGAACACATCCATTAGGCATAAATTGATGTGCCTTAACATTGGAAATCCCAAATACTCCACCTGGACCTGCTGATGCTAAGAACTTTCAGAAATCCACCAGACAATGGAGAACAGATCTACAATTCATACTCTTCTTTTACAAAATAGTCTCTCTCATTGCTGTTTCATATTGAGACAGTATCATTTGTTACTTGGTTTGCAGTTATGAGGGAAAACTAGAACAAACGTGGAAGCCTTATGATGCTGCATTTCTGTACACATTGCTTGGACCTGAAGTCAACATAGAAGTTACTGATAGCATCAGCGGCAAGTTGTTATCAACAGGCAAATTAGAAACACAAGATATAATTTCCAGTGGAACAGAACAGGTTCAAGTTTTCTGAAATCACAGTTTTGCTGAAAGGTCCATGTGCCATAGAAGGAACTCCACCCAGCCAGAGACACTGGACTGAATGCCAATGACCTTTCCAGCAAGATTGGAACCTGTAACAAGGCATAGGTGCTGTCATTTCCTTGTGAAGGCAGCAGTATTTTTTGGAAAGAATAGGATCCCTTCTAGTTCTTACCATTAAATAGGTAATTAGTAAGGCTACAAAATGCACTCTTTTTTTCACTGTCAAGTCAAATTTCCAGCTCTTCACTCAAAATTCTCAGAAAAGCTAGCCTCTGAAATGATCAGAAAGATTGAGGCTAGTTATTTATGTTTCTAATATTTTGAGTATATTCAAGTAAACACTGATGGAGAAGTATCAATTAGTGAACTGATGAAACAGCAAAAGAGGACTGTAAATATTCTCTGAAGGAACAGTTACCTGCTGTGATACAGTGTGCTAAGTTCCTCTGAGATCTGTAAGAATAAGCACTTGTTCATCAGTGCTTCCAGGCATGCGTCATTCCCACAAAACCTGAATAAAGCCTTCCTTTTCATATCATTAGTTTAAGTATTTAATCACTTACAATCAATTCTCACTTAATTTGAAGCATATCCCAAAAGATTTTTGAAATTACGATGATTATTTCAACATTATACATCAGAAGAATGGGTTGAACAATGCTAGCAAGATGTCATCCTCACAGTTAACTACGTTGTTTGACCTATCTGAATGACACGATAGAAATGTTAACTGAAAAAATAAAAAACAACCACAATGGAACTATTCCTCAGAGTAATAGCAAAATTTAACAAATAATTTAGCAAAATGTAAATTTAACAATTTTGAATTATTCTGAGAATAATTATTTTGGAATACAGAAACAGAAAAATGTTTGGACTTCATTATTTTTTTCTCTGGCACGCTTTTTTTATTTAAAAGAGACTTTATTTAGGATGTTGTGAAAGGAAATGGCAGTAATTTATATTCAAAGTATGTCACCACACCTAATAGGTGTTCCTAAGCTATCACACACACTATACATGTTTTCAGGAATCACTCTGGCTAGCAGCTATGATTGAGGGTTCAGAGTAAACATTTAGTGATAAAATGGCCTGTGTGACAGAAGTAAAGAAAAGCTTATTTAAAAAACTCACTTAGAAAAGAATGTGTGTTAGTTCAACATCAGATATGCCAAAACGCATCGCACGCTTTCAAATAATCAGCATGACAAGCGCACCATAAACAGCAACAACCTGATACCAAGAACAGGATAGCTACCAATGAATCTGGATTCTAGATGGTCTCTCTTATGCTTTAGAATGAAACTATTTCAAAACAGCCAGG